ACACCAAGACCACAGCATCATGCGCTGCACCACAGCCGCACACCTATCAACATTCTCTTTCTGGTCGCAGATCTCTTGAAGGATTTGTTCAACAGAAAAATCCTCAGAAGCAACTCAACTTGTAGACTATTTCAGTATATTCACAGATTCACCTGAAATGTCTAGTGGGCCCAAGGGAAGAAGCCTTCTAGCGAGAGCCTACTAATTTCATCTTTTCTTCCAACTGACTCAAGTAAGTGGTGCCAAATAGTTTTCCTTACCTATTGCTTAACACGGGCGGCCGTTCTGCAGAGACAAATTGATTCAGATTTCCCCCAACGCTACTGATTGGCCAACAGGTCCTTGAAGTAAGTCACTGGTTTGGTAGAAATCAAATAGGATTGCCAATTTCCTTTCTTTGGGGGAAGAAAAGAGAGTGAAAAGGGGTAATTGGCAAAAAGGAGTCAAGGTCATCCAATATGATTAGTCACTCCATTAGTTCCCTATTGCTGCTACACCACATTACCACAAACTTAGAACACACTTAACCCAGCAAAAATTTATTATCTAACAGTCCTGGAAGTCAGAAGTCCAAAACAGGTCTCACTGGGCCAACAGAAAGATGTTGACCAGACTGCATTCCTTCCTGGAGGTTTGAGAGGGAAATCTAATTTTCTTGCCTTTTCTATCTTGTAGAGATTGCCCATGTTCCCTAGCTCATGACCCCCCTCCATCTTCAAAGCCAGCAATGGCTGGTTGAATCTTTCTCATGTGGCATCACTATGATACTTACTCTTCTGTTCTCTTCTTCCATCTTCAAGGCCCATGTAGATAATCCAATGTAATCGTGTTTTAAATCCAGCTGATTAGCAAACTAAATCTCCTCTGCTGCCATTCCCCCTGGCCATTTAATATAACATATTCACAGGCTCTGGAGATGAGCAGACAGACATCCTTGGGAAGCCATTACTTTATGTATCATAGTCACGTTCTTTTTGGTATTTTTGATGTCAAGGAAGGAATAAGCCCTGTTTCAGGCCCTGATCAATCTTTACAGTTTAGAAAAGCAACAAGGTGACAGTACTTTTTGAATTGTCATAACAATTTATTTTTGGATAATAAAATCCCTTCAAAAAATCCATTATCATCTTTAAAATAGGGTCTTTCAAAAACAATATGTGCCCAATTTCTGGTCAACCTAATGTCTTCTAACTCCTGATAATTTAGGCAACTGGAGAAATTCTTTATAGCTTGCCACACAAAGTAAAGAGTACTCAGATGTATTTTGTAAAAAAAAAGTTGCAGATACACGTAGAGGTACCCATGAAGACTAAATGAGGCCTGCATGAATGAGGAAATCAACAGGAAATCAAGGCACTGTTGGCAAAAGAAGGGGGGCAGAACTGCTCAGAAGGAAAACTTACAGGCTGTACTGTGCACTCACCATCTGGCTTGTAATCCCATTGCTTCATGACACCCATCTCTAGAATGTTCCTCATTATGTACTTCTGCTGCAAACCAAACATCTCCTCTTTCTTATTCTACTGGACCTTTTGTTTGTTCTGTTTTGTTTTCCTCCAGGGGGCCTGACCACTTTATCTCTGATCCTTCCCTTATTGGGCACCACCTAGCCCATCACCCTAACCAGCTTTCACACAGCCCCACTGTCCTTGCCATTCACTCGGCCCTTAGTCATATTTACATCTGTTGTCCCACTCTTTAAAACAATTATTTTATGCCTTCACTCTCCATAATCGTCCATAAGCCTCCTCTTCCACTCACAAATGTTCTGGTTTCCTTTCCTTCCAGAAGCATGGCAAGACTGCACCCCATAGCCCCACTTTGAATTAGATATGATAGTGTTGCTTATTTTGGCCAATGACATGTAGAAGGGTGATATACCACTTCCAGAAACAGGCTCTAAGTGGCAGGATGTCACTCTTCTCTTTTCAGTCTCAGCCACAGAGGAGCACAGAGAGCCCTCTAGCTCTGTGGCTGAGTTAGAGCAGCATTCCCTGGCTGACCAGCTATAGACATTTAGCAAGAGAGAAGCAAGCTTTTGATGTGTTGAACTCCTGCAATACAGAGGGAGATTGTTACTACAACATAACCTAGTCTATATTTCGCTTTTTATTTCAGTGAGAAAACAGAAGCAATCAGAAGAGACCTCTACAATCTCCCATGCCCACATCTGCCATAAATTTGTTACCGTATACTTTCCTTCTTCCTGCATTATGGATGAATTCTCCATATTCCTAAGGTTTATCTTTCAACTTATGCACTAGATTGCATCCTCTTTTACCTACTCCAGGCCATCATTCCAGCATTTCTCTCCTTCATTTCTTATATCATTAATTTTTATCTTGCTGCTAGATCACCTCTATCAGTAAATAAACAGACTATAATATCTCTGGCCTTAAAAGAAATAAAACCGTCCTCCAGTAGCCCCACTCTATTTGAAGTGAGTTGCAATATTCACTCCTGTTTTCTCCGGAATGATCTCCAGTTAGGGTTCCGCTTGCCCCTCTACAGAGAAACTGCTCTTACCACCATCACAAATGACCCTGAATTTACTAAGTCTGGTAATCAAATCTCAATCCTTATCTGACAGAACACTGACTTGGTGGACCACTGTTTTTTGGGGGAGGCAAATTAATCCTCAGAAACTGAATTTGTCTGTATCAGCAATTTATTTATCATAGGTTCACTGTAGGAATTTTACAAAGCAATGGCATACAGGATAATGTCTCCTAATAACCCAGTAAAGAAATAACCTACTCCAAACCAATGACAGATGAATCACACTATTGTTCCAGGCAAGGGAAGATGAAAGAAAGACCATATTTAGTTGAAGTGTATCTTTATACCAGTTGATACTCAGGAGAGCTGGCCTAGCCAACCAATCGCTGATGTCCTGCTGGCAGAGCAAAACAAAAAAAAATCCCCTGTTGCTAGAGCATGTTGGTAGGGTGCACTGCGAGATCTCCTTGGCCTGCCATTGCTTGGGTTTTGCCACTTGAGGGTAAGAATTGTCTTTACAGCAGCAGGCCTTAATTGCCCCCAAGGTCATCCAAGAGCTATTTAGATCAGCAGAGTCACCTTGCTCAGAGCAAACACTCTCTGATAGTCCTTACAAACTCTTGGCATTTAGAGTCTAAATGTCTCCCTTGTCATAGCTGGTTTGTCCTTCCTAAGTTTTTACTGCTAAACCCCCAGCACCATCCCTCTGCGGCTGAGCTCCTAAGTGCTTGTAAACAACAACAGACGTGATGACCACATCCTTACTTCCTTCTTAATCAAAACAACTTTACTCATAAAAACAATCTCATTTTTGTCATAAATCACAACAAACCAATACACAACAACCACATTTCTTCCTTCTTGAAATATTTTCTTCGCTTGGCTTCTAGAACATAACTATCTCTTAGTTCTCTTTCTCTCTCACTGACTGCTTCTGCTCTGCATCCCAAATTCTAAATGTTGGGTACCCGGGTTACCAAACCTCTGATTCTGACCCTTCCCCACAACATACTCTTCTTGCAGTTTTCTCCAGCTCACTAAATAGCAGCTCCATCCTTCTAGTTGGTCAGGGCCAACTTTTGTGGAGTCATCCTTCTCTTTCTCTCATACTCCACGTCCAATCTGTCACAAATCTCATTAGTCCTACCTTCAACTAGCGTACAAAATTAACAACCTCTCACCACCTACATTACCACTCTGGACCAAACCAAAATCATCTCCTCAAAGAATTATATCAATGGTCTCCTAAATGATCTCCCTACTTTCTCATATAGTCTCTTCCCGACATTACCCTCTCCCTGAGTCCTTGTGTATGCATGTCCACTAAATGCCTTTAAAAACTGGTAACATTGGTTGTTGATGAAATTAAGACAGTGGAGACAGACAGACAGCTTTTGGGAGTAGGGGGTTCTCCAGTGCTTGAGATGTCAGGGAGGCTGTGATTGCATCATGGGATTGCTTTCACTCCCTAGCCCTTTATGGCCAGTCCCAAGTGCTCCCAGTGTGTTAGTCTCTTCTAATTTACTTCCGCCTTCCAGACTACTTTCCTGTGCGTCTGTTAAAATGTTCAGAGACTGCCCACCTTTCGGTAGACTTTTTTCCTTCCCCGTCAGACCCTGAGTTGCTAATTTTGGCAAGATTTTCCTGCGATAATGCCTAGCCCTCCTACTCCAAAGGCACACTACCCTCCACCTCTCCCCTGCACCCAATGCAATCCCTTTAAGAGTTTGAGAGTTCGGGGGCGCCTGGGTGGCTTAGTCGGTCTGACTTTCGCTTAGGTCATGATCTCGCGGTTCGTGGGTTCGAGCCCCGCGTCGGGCTCTATGCTGACTGCCAGCTCGGAGCCTGGAGCCTGTTTCAGNATGAGACACGGGAATCTACCCCCAAGACCAAGAGCACATTGTATACACTGTATGTTAGCCACCTTGGCAACAAATATATATATAAAGTGATTTAAAGGGTAACTTTGATGTTATGTGTTTTTCATCACAATAAAAAATACACAGCACCGGGGCGCCTGGGTGGCTCAGTCGGTTGAGCATCCGACTTTCGCTTAGGTCATGATCTCGCGGTTCGTGGGTTCGAGCCCCGCGTCGGGCTCTATGCTGACTGCCAGCTCGGAGCCTGGAGCCTGTTTCAGAGTCTGTGACTCCCTCTCTCTCTGACCCTCCCCTGCTCACGCTGCCTCTCTCTCTCTCTCTCTCCTAGAAATAAATAAAACATTAAAAAATTTTTAAAAAAAAGTTTGAGAGTTCAGCTGAGTAGATGATCAAACAAGTAGTGCCCCAAACACTATGCCACGAATGGTTCAGTGCCTGAGGGGCAGCCATCAGGGGCCGGAAGGTGGAACACTTCTTTTCCAAAAAGGGAAAACCTGGGGGAGGAGGAGGGGGAGGGAGGGAAAGGAGTCAGGGGAGAAAGGGGATGATGGAGAGGAGGCGGGGGGTGGGGGGCGGGGGAGCAGTGGGAGGGAGGAGGGAGGAGGCGGAGGAGGGGGAGGAGCTTCAGGAGGCGGCCTCGCGGCCTGCTCCGGCCTGCTCCGACCTGCCGGACCGGTGGCCGCATGGCTTCGGCCTCCGCTGCGGCGGTACCGGGCCGCGGGGCCCAGAACCTGCTGCAGTTCCTGCGGCTGGTGGGGCAGCTCAAGGTGAACGGGCGCCGGGCCGGGCAGGACCGTTTGGGGCCGGGAGGGCGGCGCGCCGGGAGAGGCCGGGGTGGCCGCGGGGGCCCCGGAGCCCCTGCTCGCCGCGGGCCCGGGCCTTCACCTTCCCTCCGCCCTCCCGCCTCGCAGGGTTGGGCCGAGAAACTCCCCCCGGCGGCGGGGGCGCGGCCGGGCTGCCAGGCCGACCCGGGCCCGGCGGAGGCCGAACCGCGAGCGTCCGGCGTGGGGAGGCGAGCCTGCAGCTCGGCGGGGGGCCGGCGCGGGCAGCCATTGGAGCGGTTCCTGGCGAGCAGCCCGCGCGCAGGGCTGCGAGGCCCTCCGCGCCGGTCGGTGTCCGCCCCGAGGGCAGGCGGGGCCCACGACCCCTCAGCTGCGCGGTTAAGGGTGGCCCTCTGACGGCCGTGGGAAGAGCTGACCTGCGCATCAGTCAGCGGGATGCCTTAAATTTGTCTCTTAGCTCCTTCTAGAGATAACAAGACTTTAAAAAAAAAAATTTTATGTTTTATTTATTTCTGAGAGAGACAGACATTGTGAGCAGGGGAGGGTCAGAGAGACAGATACAGAATCCGAAACAGGCTCCAGACTCTGAGCTGGCAGTCAGCACAGAGCCTGATGCGGGGCTCGAACCCACGAACTGTGAGATCATGACGTGAGCCGAAGTCGGACGCTTAACCGACTGAGCCACCCAGGCGCCCCGACTTTTTTTTTAAACAATATTGTCAGTAGTCCATACTGGAATTGTATCCTGCGCGTCCTCCCCTTCCGTTCTGTTCTCCCCCATCCATAATTTTTGCAGAATTTCCACAAGTTAAAAGCAGATTATCTGTTTCCTGCCAGTATTGCTACTGTTTATACAGGCCTTTAGGAATGTACACTTTGGGGGGCGCCTGGGTGGCTCAGTCGTTTAAGCCTCCGACTTCGGCTCAGGTCATGGTCTTGCAGTCCGTGGTTTCCAGCCCTGCATCGGTCTCTGTGCTGACAGTGCAGATCTTGGAGCCTGCTTAAGATTCTGGGTCTCCCTCTTTCTCTGACCCTCCCCCGCTCGCTCTCTGTCTCTGTCTCTCAAAATAAAGACATAAAAATTTTTTTTGAAGAAAAAAAAGAAATGTACCCTTTGGGGAGAAAATACAGTCTCACAAGATCACATCCTGATCTGAACAAAAGGAAGAATTATGGCCGGGTGGTAGCAGGAGCAATTGGAAATGCCTTTCTCCTTTCTGCTCCAGAATTTGGAAGTCTGTCACTTGTTCAAGTTCAAAGCTTTCACCACAAGGTTTTCTACCTGTGTTGAATGGTAGTGTTTGAAGGCAGAAAGTCCCAACTCTTGTAGTTAGGAAAAACACAATAATTTACAGCTTTATTTTTCTGTCTAAGGTACTTGTAGAAGTTCCATAATTTACACATTAGTAACACAGAGTAATTTGACTATTGGAATTTTGCATGATATGCCTGTGAATTAGTTCTCCCTCTCTCTCTTTCTCCTTCTCTGACCTCCCTGGTTTATTTGATTCCAGATGTTGACCAGTAAGTTAGCTGAGAATTTTTTTAAATTTTTTTAAATGTTTTAGTTATTTCTGAGAGAGAGAGAGACAGCATGAGCAGGGGAGGGTCAGAGAGAGAGGGAGACACAGAATCTGAAACAGGCTCCAGGCTCTGAGCTGGCTGTCGGCACAGAGCCCGACACGGGGCTCAAATCCACAAATCGTGAGATCATGACCTGAGCCGAAGTCAGACGCTTAACTGACTGAGCCACTCAGGCACCCCTTTATAAATAAAAAAAAAATTTTTTTAATGTTTAATTGAGAAGCTTTTAATACTTTCTGAAATCATAACTCTGCTTCTATACCCTATTCCTTGGACTTCTCTTGAAGAGCATAACAGATAGTTTAAATATTTATTTTTGTGAACTTCTTTCTCTTCTTCATTTTCTTCAGAGAGTCCCAAGGACTGGCTGGGTATACAGAAATGTTCAGAGTCCAGAGAGTGTATCAGATCACATGTACAGAATGGCAATAATGTCTCTGGTGACCAAAGATGAGCATCTTAACAAAGACCGGTAAGCTGATGTGAACGGTGCTGCTTGTCAGGATCTCTGGGCTGTGGGTATGTACCACTTAACTTGAGGCCTGTGTCTAATTCTTGCATGTTAGTGTATCTGTCAAGATACATTATTTGGGACAAACCGTCCAGATTCAGGATGTAGGAAGGGGAATTATGTGTGTTGATTGCTTCAGTTGTAAACTGCATTCTGGGTTTTCCCTGGCAAGTGATAGAGCCTACCTTGGTCTCAAGAAAACAAAAGTGTGATATTAGAATTTCTAGGCCTTGAGAGTGAGTGTGGTATGTCTAAAATCCTATCATTGCATTAGTTCACCGTGTGCTTTAATCTAGCCCCTTTCATAAATTCTAGCACCTGTTGGTGAGGTGACTTTTTAGGGAGGCAATGTGCAGGATGTAGTTGAGAAAGAGATAGCCTCTCCTTCAGTCAGTCAGCAAATGTTTTAAAATGCTTTTTGAACACAGGACAGAGTTTCCTAGCAATATAAGACAGTAAAACAAGTGTCCCATGAATTAGACTGGTCCCAACTGGCTTCTATAAAAATAACAAAATAAGTTATGTTCAGAAATTAGCAAAGTTGGTGCAGCTGGCTCAGTCAGTAGAGCCTGTGACTCTTGATCTTGGGGTCATGAGTTTGAGCCCCACATTGGGTATAGGGATTACTTTAAAAATAAAATAAATACAGAGTTTAAGAAAAAACTAGCAAGTTATTCTAACAGAAGAGATCATGTGTTCTTGGGTGATCTTAACGGAGAGAGTGGAGTCAGGTGAGCTCTGAAGAGTTGGTGAGGTAGAGGAATGGAAGGCACAGTGTGCAGAGAGATCGGCTTAACAACCAAAGCTCTGATGGTACGAAAGTAAAGGTATATTTTGGAAACAATAAGTAAATCACCTTGATTCTAGCAAAGGTTCATTAGAGGGGGTTCATTAGCTCTATTATTCTGTAGATCGTGTCTAAGTGGGAATTTTGGCAAAAAGTACAAGATGAATATAGTGTTGAATAGAGATAAATCTAAGTGTAGTCTGAGATTTGAACTGGATGACAGAGAGAGACTGTGGATGGGACACCCCTGGGGAGGCTATTAGGCCTTATGCCTCCTTGGAGATAGTGGGCACGTGAAACGGATGGCCCTCTGGGGCATTTACATCATTAAGCCTTCATTATTTTGACAGTGATTATCCTCATCACTAATCATTATCATTTATCCACTTGCTTAATGATCAACATGTGCCAGGAACATAAGTTATCAAATTTAGTTTTTATACCAACCTTATGATGTATCATTCCTTTTTTACAGATGAAAAAATGAAGGCTGACAGAACTGAACATTAAAAGAAATTAAGTAACTTGGCAAAGGTCACACAGCTCCATAAATGGTTTCTGGATTTGAACCTAGATCTGTCCAACTCCACCCATTTCTCTATAAAGAGCCTTATTTTGATATCTAACTAGTATATTAGGGAGATGATTGTTTCTGAATTTTGTATCAGTAAGTAGATGCTATAACCAGATCATCTCCTCATGGCTTGGTATTCTGAAGTTACCAACCTTTGAAAGTGAAATTTGAAAAACCAGCCATTTAAAAAAAAATTCGTGTTAACGGTTTGCCCTGCATTCATGTATTATTGTGTTGAATAAATATTAACTAGCAGTTTTGAATCAGAACTCTTGTGGGCTGGTAGAATATAATTACTTTAGAAAATACTGCATTAAAATGCCATGAAGGGTGGAGAAAAAAAAATATGCAACTTCAAAATAGTATAGAGAAGGAACCTGTAGTGAATCTAATTTTGTATAATTATTCACCATTTCTTGCCTGGTCAGATGTATCCGTCTAGCCCTGGTTCACGATATGGCAGAATGCATCGTTGGGGACATAGCACCAGCAGATAACATCCCCAAAGAAGAAAAACATAGGCGAGAAGAGGTCAGTGTTGACTGTTAACTCCACAAGAGACCACCAGACAAGCCTGTTGCTGAAGCAAAACTAAGTTGATTAGACCTGCTGCAGTAAGGGAGAGCACCTGGGCAGAGTTTTAGTGGTGTCTCCGGAAGGGGAAGTCAGGAGAGGATATTTGTCAAGTTTTAGGGCCTGGGCTGGAGGATGCTTAGGTGGATCTTATGAGATGGGCAGCTAGTTAGATGGCACAGGGTTTAGGGCAAAACAGCCTTGGATTGGCCGGACTGAGATGCAAAGTCTTAAAGTCTTGAGGAGGAAGCTGTGGGTGCTTATTCTATGTTGGGTGGTTTATGGTCTTATCTTCCAGATGCAAGGGTTTCGTGGAGTAAGCAGCACGTTGGATTTTGGATGTTCTCAACCTTGTTTAACATGAGATTGGGAAAGTATGTTGCTGCGAGACTTGTTTTAACACAGGGACGGGAAGCAGTTGGTTTCTGTTCTCACTAGTATGTGGACAGAGATGGTATGGCTTTCATTAGAACAATGGCTAGATCTTGAAGGGATTCTCCATGCTGGTTAAGCTCTTTAGAGGAAAGTTCTGTGAATCACAAATATAATCAATATTATAATAATCAGTGAATTTTCCATTAGTATTTTAATTTATTGGTTACAAGTAAAGAAAAATATTTGTAATAGTAAGTAATGAACATCTATAAAATACTAAATCTGTGTCAATATGGGCTCTAAATCCAGAGTCCAAGGCCAAGGAGGGACACATATTTGAGGCAGAGTTTGGAAGATCCAGGAATTTTGTTTTTGATTTTGTTTTTGTTTTTATGTTGCATAGTTGGTTCTCCACTCAGGGATTATTGCAAACTACTTTTATTATAGGAGTTTGGTAATAAATTCCTAAGTGGATCACCATGGCTTAACAGGGTAGGTGGGCTTGAATAGCTGTTCTCAGAGGTGAGGGAGACTGGAGTTCAGTAGCAAAAAGTATTTTTATCTCTCCAGAGACAAGAAGATCCACAAGGAATCCCAGTTTAGGAGTTCTGACATTATGGGAACAAGGGAAATCATGTAAGGGTGTTTTCTTCCTGCCAAAGTGCAGATCCAGAATACAGCTTCAGCACCATGACAGTTTGTGAAAAAGGGAGGAAGCTGAGAAATGTTTCTCTGTAGGAGTCGAGACTGTTGGGAATAAAGAATTCCTAGATTGATTGGCAGAATTAATTAAAAAAAGAAACGAATTAGTTCAAGAGATGGAGTGGCAGAGAGAAATTAGCCCTGAACCAGGGCATGTTGAGTAATGACATAAAGGAAAGGGGATGGGGGAAAAGCTCCCCAATTATGCAGCTCATTTCAGGATGTACGGTAGTTTTATTCAAGGATGGATGTGGACATTGTGGAGGAGAAATGGTATATTGAAGTACCAGAGGGTCATCAGAGACTGTAAAGTGACACAGAGCAAGGAGAAAAGACAAACTGTCCCCATGAAGATACATGATGAATTTGAGCTTCCTCCACAGAGGAGCAAAAAAAAGAGCCCATAGGAGGCTCTCCAGCCCCTGAAGATGAGAGAAAACCTGCTACTGTCTTGACGGGAGGGAGGCCCGGCCAGTGACACCTCGTGGAGGGGCCTAGGAGGGACGTGGACAGCCAGTGCTGCTGCCTTCCTGGGTGTCCTGTCCTGGCAGTGATGAGAATTTTCCGGCCTTGTGGTGCTTCCTGGCTGCTGCCTCTCCTGTGTTCCCTGGGAGACTCAGTGCCATATTCAGAAGGGAAAGGGAAAGCATCTTGAACAACCGCAAGTTCTTGGACAAGAAACCAAAGGTTTGGAAGAGTGCTGATATTCCATTGCCTCTTCCTGCGGCTGGTTAGGATTTGGGAACAGAGATCTGGAAGGTGAACAATTCTTTATGCAGATGGTGTTTATGAACAAGATTTGGATGTCTGAACCATGCATTAAGATAATTAAATGCGAGTTTCTTGGCTCAAGGTGGAATGCACATAATGAGAATCAGGCAGCAGCCTCCGCCCAGAGGCTAGCTAACTGGATCAGGAAGGCTTACACTGAAGTAGGAGGGAGGAACATATCTGATAAACTTGGAAGTCCGATTGCCTTGAGGGAGAGTAGGTTTTAAGATGAAAAGGAAAATGAAGGCATGGAGGAGAAAATTTAGGGCCAAAAGCAATACTTGCTGTCTGATCCCCTTCCTAAACAAGATAAAACAGACTTTATATCATAACCTCAGTTGGTGACTGATGCCTGGTAAGGATCACTGGGAAGCAGTGAGATGGAAATTGAGCCTGGAGTACAGCAGTAGCAGGTTATGTTCTTTTGCCAAGAGAAAAACATTAAGTGAGAAGGCAGAATCTTGGTATGTATGTATCTTCTAGGGTTAAGGTTGATAAAAGTTGCTTAAGAACCAAGACGTTAAAAGCGGAAGAACCAAACTTTATTATGGGAATGAACATGGCAAAATAGTGAAACTGAAAAATACAGTGAACGTTTCATAGAGTGCTTATTATGTGCCAGATACTGGAAGCTTTACACATACTCCCTTCCTAACCCTCACATCAGCCCGTTCAGGTAGATGCCGTTGTTAACCCCCATTCTATAGATGAGAAACCTGAAGGGCAAAGAGATGAATAACCTTTAACCTCAGGGTTCCACTGACAGTAATGGGTGAGTCAGGTTTCAAACCCTGTTTGAATCTGTAGTTTGCAGTGAACTCTTAACACTGTTCAGCCTTACCAGTGATGTGTGAAGATGCATAATGCTTTCTAGATACTGGTCACAAAACTGACCTAGACATTTGCTAGAAACTTATTCAGCTCAGGACTTCAGGCAAATTCTTTTGACATGCTTTACTCACAGGAAGAAGTGTGTCAAATTAGAACAAATATCACTCTAGAGGCGCCTGGGTGGCTCAGTCAGTTAAGCGTCCGACTTTGGGTCAGGTCATGATCTCGCGGTTTGTGGGTTCGAGCCCAGCATCAGGCTCTGTGCTGACAGCTAGCTCAGAGCCTGGAGCCTGCTTCGGATTCTGTATCTCTCTCTCTCTGACCCTCCCCTGCTCACGCTGTCTCTCTCTCTCAGAAATAAATAAAACATTTAAAAAATAAACAAACTGAAAAGGTAGGCACTATTCTTTGACATACGTTGTGAACAAGGAATATTGATTACCCAAAAGGTCTCAAAATACAGCCTGATTATATAATAACAGAGGATATCAATGAATTTTAGATCCAGAAAACCTCTCGATTTCAAGAAGAGAGCAACAGCATATTATTATCTGTTTTGTTTTTTAAAGGACAGAGTAATTTTAATCAACTGGAAGTTTATTAGATGTGATCATCAAAAAGCTGATTTGGTCTCAGGCTGCCTTTGTAGAAATACAGTCTCTAGCATGATGGAGGCGCCAGCCCCATTCTCTCTTAGACCACACCTCAGGCACTATGTTCAGTGCTGGGTGCGTTACCATAAAGGGAATAAAATAATCCAAAAGTTTAGATGTTTATATACCTGTAAATACATATTATTTACTTCATTCTTTTCAAACAAAGGCAACGGACAAATGTGTGGTTTTGGAATAGTGTAGACAAAGGCAGTCTATTTATACAGATGCCTTTAATTTTTGAAAATGCAAAGGTTTTTCAAGCATTTTGCTGCAGTTTATGAAAAAGAAACAAGCGAGAATGCAGACACACGGTACCGTAAATTTGATACCGCTGAGGCCTGTCCTGTATGGTGCTACAAGCCGTTCAAGATGGTGGTGTTACTTAGAGATCATGCTGTTGACACAAACGCTGTTCACTCTGCCAGTCGTTGTGTTCTGTAACAGTTTTCTTCCTCCCGGTGATAAATGTACATTTTTATTTTTATTGCTTTTCCCCACCTCACTATTTGATTTTATATGGGGCCTTTGCCACTGTTCTATAACCACTTTGCCAAGGAGCCTCACCTCCGGGTAGAAGAACTGAAGCGGATTAAGAGGTGTAGGATGAGGATGGTGAAGGGATCTGAAGCCATTTGAGAGTAAGTTGCAGACCTCATGCCCCTAACATGTGATATATTTTTTTAATTTTTTAATTTTTGAGAGAGCATGAGTGGAGGAGGGGGCAGAGAGAGAGAATCTTAAAAGTGGGCGTCATGCTCAGCATGGAGCCCAACGCAGGGCTCGATCCCATGACCTTGGGATCATGACCCGAGCCCATATCAAGAGTTGGCTGGTCATCTCACTGAGCTGACCTCACCCAGGCACCCCAAGATACGATATCTTAGAGAGACACTGGAGCAACACAGAAATGGAGGAGGAAGGAGCAAGGGTGGCTCCTGGGACCTCAGAGAATAGGAAGAGGTACAGAACACCCTCTGCTGTCTCATTCTCTCATCTGGTTTGGGCTCTCCCTGGCTGGTACCCGTGCTTCTCCCTCCTAGCCTCTGCTGGGCAGGTCGTGCAGATGTCCCTCAAGTGGCCGGTTTGGGGTCCATGACCTTCTCTTGGACTGGTCACTGTGGCCACAGTGATTCTGGCCTAGCTGGGTCACTGCCCACCTATTGGATGCTATGTTTGTGAGGGGTGAGGTCAGGCCTGCTGGGCATTTGGGCAGCCTCTGGAGGAGCTGGAGTCCCAGCCCTGGACATGTGTATGAAGGGAGGGCAAGAAGTGATCAGTGATGCTGTCAGATGGCTCAGATACTACATGGATGGTGTCGCTATGACCTGTGCATCTGTGACCCTACAAAATACTATCATGTAGTTTCCTTTATGTTAATGACAATAAGTGCCCGTTTGTATAGTGCTTTATGTTATGCAACAAAAATATTAACAGTGGGAAATGAATATAATAATACACAATTTCTTTGAGCTTTATTATTCACTGTTACTTTCCTGTTCTTGTTCTCAAGTTTCCTTTGAACTCCAGTATGCTTATGATTGAAATTTATGTGGGCATCTTGTGATTCGTCCACAAGAGGTAAAACCTTGGCCTCACTTCTGATATCTCTGTTATCATCTCACACCCTCCTTGTTGTCTTTTCTTTCTTTCTTTTTCTTTCTTTTTTTTTTTTTTTTTGGTGTCTGGTCTGCTTCAGGCCACAAAATAAGTGCTCACTGAACCCCATGTGAATAAATACACATTTCTTTAAAGTATACAACTGCCCTCTTGTAATCTATAAATATCATCCAACATTTGGACATCCTTTGAGGAGCTGTTTGTAAGAGTTTGAGCCTACTATTTGGCTTTTGTAGTTGAGTTGTTAATTAGATAAATGTGATCATGAGTAAAATAATGGTTTGGTATTTCAGGAAGCTATGAAGCAGCTAACACAGCTCCTTTCAGAAGATCTCAGAAAGGAACTTTATGAACTTTGGGAAGTAAGTATATGTGATGAGTTGCTTTTTACTGTGATTGAGTTTATATGGATCATCGATGTTTTAGTTGTCTTGGATTATCTTAATGAGCTGTCTCTAACTTACTATTGTCTTGTTTGGGTCTATTTCTCACCTCCTGGCTGCCGCAAGGATTTCTCATGGCTAATAGAAATTTTTCTTCCCTCCAATCTCCCCCTTTCCCTTGGGGAGACCATAATGCCTGGTGCAGATCTTGACTCAGCCCCTGGATTTCCTCTTGCATTGTTCTCACTCCCCACCCTGCCAGCCTGCACATGCCCACCCATTTCTGGTCCTTAAAAAGAATGTGGGCCTTCACCACCTCCTGCCCCTGTCCTTGGGCGTATTCCCCTCCCTGAGTCTGTTGCCACCTGTGAAGCCATGAAGGGTTGTTTGGGGCTGAGTGAGGTCAAAGTGAAGTGTTGCCCTGATGCCCGGTACAGAACAGGGGCCCTGCTGGTGCTCGCCCCCTTCCAGGTGGGAGGCAGGACGTCTGGAGGGAAAGGGCAGGAAGAGCGGAGAGCGCAAAGAAAGCCTTTGTGCTCCCATTGCTCCCCCTCCTAGTGCTGGTTTTCATTTGTGAAAACAGCAGCAAACAAACCGTTGCCTATTGCAGTTTCTCACTTCCCTCAGTCCACACTGGCCCTTCCTTGCTTGAGCCCCTAGACGCCCTCCTCCCAAGCCCTCCTCCCCCTGCCACCTTCAGAGGCCGATCTTCCACCTTTTACAACCACAGGCCCCCACCCTACCTTGCTCTCCCTGGAGCCTCAGAGCTGGCAGACTTCGCTTCCCACTGCCTAGCGTGCTGGGTCAGGTCTTCCTTTGACTTGGGAAGACTGGGGGTCCTATTGGGAAGTGACCGGGCTTAACCCTGAGTAGATGTGTTATCTTGGAAATGCCATTTTCCTCAGTGGTCTGATCCTGTAGTATGATGTCATTTCTGTGGTCTGGCTGGATTATGGGCTGAAATGAGCATCCTTCCCTTGTGAGGCAGTACACTCTGATGCAGAGAGCAGGGCTGGCCGCCAGGACCTGGATTTGAATCCCACCTCCCTTGGGTCAGTTACTTGGTTTTAGTTGGCTTGTTTCTCCTCGAACATGAGAATAATACAGCTCCACGTGCCCTTACCCTCCGTTAGGAAATCTACAAAGTTCAGAGAGCCTGTTTTTAAAAAACCTGACCTAACTTGACCTCATACAGCAAAATTTACCTGAATCAACAGAAGGCTGTTTAGAGTCCCCACTCATTCCCCTTGAGTGAAAATTAATTACGCTTTGATGTAGAAATATCCATCTGTTTAGCAGCTGAGTCTGCCCTAGACCCCACTACAGGTTTTCTATAATAAGTCCCATACATACCATAGTGTTTTCTAAGTTAAAAATGTGCTGAAAACTGAAAGTTTTGTCCTCACGATTTAAGGTGAAAGATTGTGGCCATTAATGCCTACCTTGCCAAGTAATTGTGAAAATTAAATCTGGCAAAATATGCGTGGTATGTAGCTGGAGCCTGGCTCAGGTGGTATCCGTTACTGGATGTAACAGGGTTTCTTCAGGAAAGGGTCCCTTGTGCCAGAGTAGGTACTTTTAAGTGAACTTCTGGAACACTGTGAATTGAGGAATGATGGAATAGAGTTGGGTTGCATTTCATACATCGAGAAGGGAAAGAAGAAAAAAAAAAGGCCCTTGAGCTGATGAAACTCATCCCATGTATTGTCTGTCTCTACAAAGGAAAGACTCCTATAATTTAAAAACTTTTTATAAGAATTGGTACCCTTGTGCCTCCTAATTACTGTAAACACAGTGGCAATATCTGTTAAATTATTTTCTTAGTTAGCCATCAGTGACTGGCTAAAAACAGTTTACTGCAAAATTTACTTTAATTACAAAAATTACATTTACTGGAAAATTTCCTTTTATTTAATTAAGTAGGATCCAAATGAAAACATCACAGGAAGACTTTGGGTTTGGAAAAATATAAAATACAAAACATTGAAGGACTAGATAACCCCCAAATAGGTGACAGTTTTATGATCTCATAAAAGTCAATGGTTGAATTAGTCAAGCTCGTTAAAGAAGGTCCCAGGACAGACACACAGTGGCCACCTTGGAATGTGACAGTCCTTCTCTCTGGCTAGCACGGCCGACAGCTTAAAAGAAGACAGCATGGGATTCAGTTACTTTGTTGGTGATACTGTGGGAGGTTGATGACGGATGTGAAGGAAGAACATTGTGCACTTTCTTACTTTCCGACATGAACCCCATCTTTGCATGCTATGAAAGGGCTGGGCTCATTTTTCCATTAAGGGCCAGAGTTGGGGAAATGAGGACCATATAAATAAGCAACACATTTTTCAGACAGAATTGGAAATTTATTTATAGAGAATATTATTCATGGCTCTTAAACTTTCCTTAACCAATTAATACACTCCTGTGAATGAAGTAGCTGCTTCAGGTCAAGAGGGGCCCCTGCGGTACAGACTGGGCACATATATTTAAACCTCAGTGTTTATTCTTCGTGCAAGAGGGCGAGTGTGTATGTGTGTGCTGATGGTGGGGGGCACATGTGTATTTAACTTGATTTAAATATCATGAAAACCAAGCAGGAAAATGTACTTTCCTAGTATCTAGTATTATTCTGTAAAGAGAGTTTTAGACATTAGAATTGTTCCTAATTTCTTCGACTATTTCTTCCCATACCATGCCTATTAAAGCCTGTATTTCAGGAACTAGAATACAACTTCTGTACACAACACATGTTTCTTCACAGCCCACAGGATCTTCTGACAAAAAAGGTCTAGCTCTAGGCGATACGTCAGAAGAAGATATTCCTCTTCCCTCTTCTCTTTCTGATGTGTATTGAATTGTGTCCCTCTAAAATTCAGACGTACCTCTGAATAAGACCTTATTTTGAGATAGGATTTCTTTTCTTCTCCATTCAATAGTTTATTCTCATTGCCTAGTAAAATATAAAACACATGGTGGCCAAGGAATATTTGAATATTTGTTGGATGAATTGATAGGGCCTTTTAATGATACTGTGAAGGAGGTCTTTTTTTATAATTGTATTTCAAATTTTTATTGTTCATGTCGAAATATATCATTTCAGGTGTTCTTCAAAGAGGAAGTGATGGCTATGGAGAATTTTTTTTTCTTGAGATAGGATTTAAAAAGTGTTTTTGGAGATGGGATTTTTACAGAGGTAATCAAGTTAAAGTGGGGTTATTTGGGTGGGTCTTGGTGCAGTCTGACTGGTATCCTTACACAAAGGGGAACTTGGACACAAAGATGCATATTGGGGAAGCGTGATGTGAACATGAGAGAGGCCATCTCTAAGCCGAGGAGAAGGGCCTGGAGTGAATCCTCCCTCATGGCCCTCTGAAGGAACCAGTCCTGCTGACGGCTTGATTTCCAGCTTCTAGCTCCAGAGTTATGAGACCATAAACTTCTGTTACCTAAACCCCAGTTTGTGATTCTTTTTATAGTAGCCCTAGAAAACTAATTCATTCCTTCTCTCTCTCTCTCTCTCTCTCTCTTTCTTTGTATCTGTCTTTTTCCTCATTCTCTGAGACCTTTGGTACTATGTAGCGGCTACTTTACTATATTCTTATTTTAAAATTATTTCTGTATCCTATCTCTATGACTCTTTACCTGTAGGAATTTTATAAATTTAAAACTGGAAGAAAATCCATGTCCTAGTCCTTTATTTTACATATAAGAAGACAGGGCTAAGGAGCAGTACCTTGCCCAGAGTCTCTTAGCTAGTGGGTGACAAAGCCTAGTTCAGCATTGTCTTTATGTCATGATGCAGCACAGTGGTTGTTTGAACAAGCATTTGTAGTTCTGTTGTATTTAAGACACTATGTCAGTTACTTACTGGTAGTAAGAGACTCTCTTACTACCCTAGGGCTGCTGTAACAAATGGCCAAAAATTTGGATGACTTTAAACAACAGAAATGTATTGTCTCATGGTTCTGGAGGCTGGAAGTCCAAAATCAAGGTATTGGCAGGGCCCTGCTCTGAAGGCTCCCGGGGAGGATCCTTTCTTGCCTCTGCCTGGCTTCTGATGGACGCTGCTTCGAGTTTTGGCATCCCTTGTCTTATGGACACATCACTCCAGTGTAAGCCTCCATAGTCAGGTGGTGTTCTCCCTGCATCTGTTATCTGTGCCCAAATTTTCTTCTTATAAGGATACCAGCCATTGGGCTAGGTCCATCCCAATCCAGTGTGACTTCATCTTAATTTGATTACATCTGCAAAGACCTTATTTCCATATAAGGTCACATTTGCAAGTTCCAGGTAGACATGAATTTCTGGGGAACAGTATTCAACCCAGATATAGGATCTCATATTAACTTAAGCATTTTTATAATTCATGTCCAGTGTTAGTACATGGACTTCGATATCCAATTTCAGGGTTCAGGTGCCCTGTTTACTAGCAGTGTGATCTTGGGCAACTTGTTGAATCTCTGTGTGCCTCAATATCCTCATTTATAAAATGGCAATAGCAATAATAGTATGCCTATCTTATAGGGTTGTATGGTGATCAAATTAATTACTCTATGTAAAGTGCTTGGAATATTGCCTGACACATAGTAAGCTCTATCTTCTGTCTCCATTCCATATGTTCTGATTTGGGTTTAAGAAGGTGTGGTCATTCTGTACCCAGGGAACTTAGAATAGTACAGTTACATAGAAAATGCCAGTTGAGGGGCACCTGGGTGGCTCAGTCAGTTAAGTGTCAGACTAGCTCAGACCAGCTCAGATCATGATCTCATGGTTCATGGGTTCGAGCCCCGCATTGGCCTCTGTGCTGACATCTCAGAGCCTGGAACCTGGTTTGGATTCTGTGTCTCCCTCTGTCTCTACCCCCTCAATCTCTCCCCACCCCCCACGCTCCATCTCTCAAAAAGAAATTAAACATTAAAAAATTTTTTTAATTAAAAAAGAAAATGCCAGTTGATTAATTTCTGAAATGTTAATCATAG